GCTGTGCTTAACCGCCCGGCCTCCTTGCCGATTCTGACCAGAAACTGGCGCACAGAGCTGGGATCGAACCCGCGCCTCTCTGCGCCAATCCTGGTACTCTGAACTGTAACCACTGGGATGACACATAGCAGGGATGACGAGTTATATACTACTGCGCATCACTTACTGGATGATAAACCGTACAGGATGAACTGATAGACTATAGACTCCCCAAAAATCTGTGCACGCGAAGGTTTTCCATTATAATGTATTGAGAGCAGTCGAGAGCAATCTTTCGCAATGATTAAATAAACAACAATATCAATAGTATCCTAGATATCCTTAGTAGTCTTGATATTCCTAGTATTCTATATATCCTTAATATCCTTAGTTTCCTACATATCCTTAGTATTCTTGATATCGTTCGTATCCTTGATATCCCTAGTGTCCTTGACATCCATAGTGTCCTTGAATCCCTTCTACTGACCTGTCAGAAAATGGATAGGTCGGTCCTTTTACTGACCTTACTGCCCTGTCAGGGAAGGGATATGTCGGTCCCTTCTACTGACCTGTCGGCTATCGGAGGAGAGATATGTCGGTCGCACCCACTGACCTGTCGGAGACTGCCAACAGTTTCACCAACTGCGAGAGCAGTTCACCGCTTGTACATACCTAACCTTCCTGACAAACTTCAGGGATTATGACCAACCACAGTGAAAGGAGGATCGCAAATTGCGAACAACAGAACTACGGTCAGAGTTCGAACTCGGCCGGATGGATCCCATCTCGTTCTGGACCGAGGCGGTTGAATGTCTTACCGATGACATTCACCTGCTGTCCGCCAAGTCACGAAAAGTACAAGAATCAGCGACAGGCCACATGAGGCCTACTCTTCAGCGCCGACATCGCTATGTTATGTGTAATGGAGCTGAGGAGAGAAGTCAAATTTGCCCCAGAGAGCTTCAAGAGACAGTATCGTGACAGCAAGCAACAGCATCGCACATCAGCTGGCCAAGTGAGGGCAGATGCGTGGTAGTGGCGTTACCTTGCATGAGAACGCAACTTCCGAGACCCTGGCAGCCAGGACCGACCGGCGTGGCGACTGCCGGGGGCGGTCGGCGACGAGCACGGCAGCGTGGACAAGCGTGGCTTTCGACGCTGANGCGTTCAAGAAATAGGCCCATGGCTACACAACTACAGCTAATTAATTACTACACGATTTGTGTAACATGAACATATTTTAACTAAATTGCATTAAATCAATAAATAACGTGTTAGTCGCATAAAAGAACAGTTTCGTTTTCTTGTACGTATATTATGTTGTGCACATAAAGCAGCGTTGCCAGATGGTATATTTCTATACCAGATTTCACAAATCTGGTATTTTCAGAAGGTATCCGGTGTGAATATTTTAGATCTTGCATATTTGCCTGAATATGGTATTTTCTGACTTACTGTAAATTTACTGCAATAAGGTCCATCTCTGAAGTTCAAACATACTCCAGCGTAGGCTGGAGATATAATATCGCGACTAGAGGTTTCCCGCCATTTTTGGAACCGCAAGTTTACCGCTTGATGAAATAACCCAAATCGAATTGTTAACATTCAGCTAAAGTGCTTAGTGCAATGTAAGCACGAGAGTGATGATCCTTGATTGATTACTGATCATTGATGATATGGCCTAGGATCTGTCTCTTATACACATCTAGATGTGTATAAGAGACAGGAGTAGAACGGGGGAGAAATAAGAGGAAGAGGTAATATAGGGAAGATAGAGGAATATGAAAGAGGGAGAGTGGAAGAGGGAGAAAGCATGAAAAAGAGGGAAAACAGGAACGAAAGGAAAGAAATGTAGAGATGAATGAAAGAAAAGACGAGGAAAATGAGTATGATACAAGAAGGCTTCAACAACATGAGTGTGTGGCGACTAAAGAAAACAAACAATAATGGGGAATAATGTCTCCCCCACATGACCACATGAGTGACTGTGGACTAAAGAAAACAAAGAAAACAAACAATAATGGGAATAATGTGTCCCCCACATGACCTTATGAGTGTCTGGGTACTAAAGAAAACAAACAATAATGGGGAATAATGCCCCAACCCAAATCCCCAGCCGCGGTACGCACAAGTTCGGGGAAGAAAATGTGAGGTGTGTACATGTGAGGTGTGTACGTGTGAGGTGTGTACATGTGAGGTGTGTACATGTGAGGTGTGTACGTGTGAGGTCCTCACAAGGCACATCATCCCATCACTCCCATGAAGTGCACATCATCACATCACTTACATGAAGTGCACATCATCACATCACTCACATGAAGAGCACATCATCACATCACTCACATGAAGTGCACATCATCACATCACTCCCATGAAGTGTACCTCATCACATCACTCCCACATCATTTACAGGTTAATTAGTTAATGGATGGACGCTCTAGATGGCTAATCGATAATTATCATGAATAATTGAGATGACATATTCGCAGGAAATTAATAGACTGCCAAATAATGATGTCGGTTATTAATAGCAAGATATAATCTATATAGTGATGTTTATTAGCATATATATTATGCATGTTTTTATTATTATTGGTCAGGTAAGAACATTATTGGCCAGGTAAGAATATTATTGGATAAGTAAGAATATCGTAATTAGTTGGAAGTTACGAATATTTGCATCGTTGTAACGATATTAGCATAGTTTGTCCTGCAATAAAAACGACTGTTATAGGACTCATTTAATTAGAATCCTTTTATAGTTCAGAAACGTTGAGAAAAATATATTGAAGATTCATACCGATTATTTGTTACAAAAATGAAAATGTGGCGACATTATGAACACATCAAGTGAATAAATTTAAATGTTCATGATATACATCATGCATAAAAATGCCTCCACACACCATGACAATAGCTGATAAGCTTTACACTTAAGAGATTTTCACGCGCATCTAATTGAAATAAATATGTAGATGTATACAAAAATATAAAATAAAACAGCACACAAAACATGACCCATAAGTCAGGTATAGAGGCAGCTATTATAAGGCAGGTTTAGAGACAGTTATATTATATTATTAGGAATATTATCTTAATAAAATATTGGGAAACCTGTGAAGTAGGCGGTGCAACAGGTGGTTGAGTGAACCCATGTCTTGAAGCGTGCCCACGCTGAGGGGAGGAGTGGGGAAACTGATGAGGGAAGGCGTTGGGAAGCTCCGGCTGTGGGAGTGGAGGTCTTGGGGGAGCGTAGGCTAGGGGAACTTGTGTCCCCACGAGGGGATACGAATCCCCGGCACTGAGAGGTGTGCAGGGGTTCAGTGGTGGGGCTATACACAGGAGATCCATCTCCGCTGTCTGGGGCGAAGGGATATTCAGATGTGGTTATTATAACTTTCTCAATTAATAAGAAATGAAGGATAAAAATCTGTGTACCAATAGAGAGAGGAATAATATTTTGCTCAAATGTGGATGACCATAATAAGCAGGTCAATTTATCGTCATTTAGCTCGCAATCTGAATTTAAGTTAAATAATTAACGGGAAGAGCACAGATTTTTAGTTCTTAAAGAAAAACTTGGAAATAAATCGCTTGACGCACCTTCGGACCATCCATCGCTGCTGGAGGTACAGTCGGCATCGTTCGGTATAGCGTCTGGTACTGTGGCTTTTGCCATTGTGGCTTTTGTCATTGTGGCCTCTATTTCGATGGCAGGTGGCGAAAGCTCAGCAATTTTTTCAATGTTTTTAGCCGGCGGAACAGAAACGCGGCCGCTGGAGAGAGTGGACGGCCATCGGTCTTCTCGGGTGCTGAAGGAGTTACTTGTTGATCTTACAAAGGCCTCTCGACGAGACTTGGACCTCTCGATACCATCGGCATAAGCCGGCCCGAGCGACTCGCCTGTCGCGACCACAAAACCATCCGATGTCCTGGGGATAACTGTGCCAACTTGAGGAACAAATGCTTCTTGGACAGCATCTTTGGGAACAACAGCGTCAGGAACAAATTCTTCATTAACAATTACGTCGCGCATAGAATCTTCGGGAACAACCGCGTCGGGAACAAAACCTTTGGGAACAACCGCGTCGGGAACAAAACCTTTGGGGACAACAGTGTCAGGGACAAAACTTTTGGGAACAACAGCGTCAGGAACAAAACCTTTGGGGACAACGTCAGGAACAAAACCTTTGGGGACAACAACGTCAGGAACAAAATCTTTGGGGACAACCGCGTCATGAATACCATCTTTGGGAATAACAGTGATATGCTGACCATGTTTGATAACTTTACCAGCAGCAACTGTGCTACCATCATCCCTGGATCCGAGAGTTTCATCCAATACATCACATGATTCGGGATTTTCATCCATCGCATCCCTGGCTTCTGGAGTTTCACCCATCCCATGTTTGGATTCAGAAAATTCATTCATTACGTCCCTGGATTCGTTAGTTTCATCCATCACATCCATGGAACCATTAGTTTCACTTGCACCAATACAAATACCAAAAGTTTCGGCCCCAACGCCCGACGTCGCGCTGTCCTCGCCTACCTCTTGGGGCTCCAGAGACCTCCTTGAACCGCCCGCTCCTCCAGCGCCAGCATCACTAATATTGCATGCATTGCTGTGATTTGAAATTAATAAGGAATCATCATGGATATTAGCTGCCGATTTATTAGCAGCTTTCGCAGAAAAGTTATCAATGACATTCAAAGTAGCGTCCATTTTCGGATTCGTCGAGGAGTTCGCCTCGACCGCCACTGGAAAGACATCGCTGGCACCCACAGGAGACTCATCATCAGCAGGCGTGTTACCCACAGGCGCATCCCTCGCAGGCGTGCCACCCGTAGGCGCGTCATCCGCAGGCGCGTTACCCGCAGGTGCGTCAGCCGCAGGTGCGTCAGCCGCAGGCTCATCTCCCGCAGGCGTGTCATTCGCATTCACGTCACTCGCAGGCGGGTCATCCACAGATGCGTCAGGCGCAGGCGCGTTACCCGCAGGCGCGTCAGCCGCAAGCGGGTCATACGCAGGCGGGTCACCCGCAGGCGCGTCACCCGCGGAGTCGTGGGGTTCGCGCATCAAGCCCCCGTGGCGCAGACTGATGGGTGATTCGCCGTCTATTGGCTGATCCTTGCCACCCACATCAGTTATTGGCTACTTGTTGGGAGCCAATAGTATTGGCTACTGGCAATTATTTGTTCTAATGTGATCTGAACTGTAAATCATGACAAAATACATAAACCAATTTAAATTTAGGTTTGGTTTGACAATATTCATTAAAAATTTTATTCCTCAACAAATTTTTATCGGAACAGAAATACTATGGAAGATGCCAATGAAATCACGATAAGATACATCGTGAATAAGTAAATTATTCAGTAAATAATTAAAAAATATTATCCCGAAAAGAATGAAAATAATCGCCGCTGAAATGTGACCTTGAAAAGAAAGTTTGAGAGATAAAATTTCGGTGCAGTCTGCTATCAAAAGATATTTTCAGGTGTGACATTTCAAATCACAACTCTCTAAAACATGTCTAACATAAAACTGCACCTGCTCATCGGGCCACTAGTGGCGGCCACTACAACTGTCCAATTCTAACCGCAACTAATTATCGTGCTTCCAGCCGCGTGTGAGGAGGAATTGGATTCCTAAGTGGGCAGTAGTGCCTATACACGAGGCCAAAACCACGGTATTTGTCGCTACCTGTACTAAGGTTGCTACGTGTACTAAGGTCGCTGCGTGTACTAAGGTCGCTATATACGTGTACTAAGGTCGTTGCGTGTACTAAGGTCGCCACGTGTACTAAGGTCGCTACGTGTACTAAGGTCGCTATGTGTATTTAGCGAGTTATAATAGTACTGCTCCGGACTCCCGACATTTGGGTCCAAATATCTTTAACGAAAAGCAATGTAGCCACAAACAGAGATAAAACACGAATTCTTTCTCACGATAGTAGCACTATTCTTGACTGAATCTGCTAATTTACATCTGATAGATTTTATCGTACACACTCGTTTTAGGTCATATTATCGTAAAATGCAAACTATCGATAACCCAATCATCTTCTCAGGTGTCAAAAGATGTCCACATGTCACAAATCTCAATCTGACTGTCTTTGAAGATTTCGATGAAAGCATGCAGAGATATTTACAACAATTATTACGTTATCCATCATTGCAACAATCGTCTTACATTTTTAATCTAGTCACCGATTGGGCGACAGAGGACTTGAAAACAGAATTCTGATTAGTAAATTGATTTACGCCATTTGGTGAATTGCAAGTGCAATAATCGTGGTGACATCGTCGGTTCGGACACCGATTAAAAAAATGGAAAAACTGGACACAACATGTCGAGGTTGAAGACGGTACATGGCAGATGAGATATGCAACATTGGTAGTTGAGATTACATTTAGATTCATAACAATGGTTGATGGTAGTTATAGTTAAATATTAACAAACCGGCCACGTCCAACGTGAATCTCAACCCCGGCTCTTCCAGCTAGCGTCCTCGGCGAGGCGTCTCCGGCCCCCACAAGTTGCTTAGGCTTCAAGTTAGTTATAGAATTATCTTCCGATTAGTAATTAAATTACCTAAGCAGCAAGCGAGAGATTCCCACCGTTAATAGAATAAATTCATATTCAGCAGTGAAGAATATCTCGTTCAGTGTGACTTCAGACCTCGTTCAAGTAAGTTAAATGCACCTCTAACCGCTTCGCCGCCGGTTGACGACAAATGAGAGCTTTCGTTTTGACTGCTAATACAGCAACATCAATACATTTATTACCAATTAAATCATTGATGATAGTTTTAATCATTTTAAGTACATTTACGCATCATTAAATGCTTGCCGTAAGGTATATCAATAAAATTTTAATAGTGAATATACGATACAAAAGTATTTTGGCCACTCCAGCCTGGATCCAAATCCAATAGTCTTACTTTCGCACCTGTGCTTAGCGTTAGCAGAGCCTTGTCTGGACTAGTACCGCAGTTCAGCAAGTTCACATGCATACAAACATCGTGCATAATTATTGGATTTTTAGACTGGACACGCGCTAACACGAAGTGTAACTTCCACTGAGCAAAAATTTCATTGAAGCCAGAAAGGCCTATTCGAAATTTGTGGACACCCTGTCTACAACACAGTTGTCGGCCGAGGATCGATCTTAGGAAAGGGTGGAAAGGAGATGCAGGTGGTAAAGGATAGCTTATGACCGCTGGCCCTTTACTGGCCACCCGAAAATCACCGTTTTTTTAACAACAATGTCGCCAAAATATGTTGTTGCATGAAGTGTATACAGGCAAGGGTCCAGACAAGCTCAGCATTTACATCGGTCTGGGGATCTCGGGACGCAAATAATTTGCCACTCTTTGAAGCCGACAATCGTGTCACATGAAGAACGTTCAGAATAAATAATTCATCAACGTTCAGAATAAATAATTAATAGTGCCTAATGCCAATTATACAAGGAAATGGTTCATCCCTGGTAAACTGTACTTACGTCACTGACTCTGCCGGAATGAACCGCCAAGCGAACACTGGCTGGATGAACGACATTTGGGCTAAGAACCCTTCAGGAAAAAATAGGAACTCAAATATTAATTATATAGTCTGCAATTTTGAAATAACCGACCTTATGAAACAACATTCTGGATTCGCGTCCAGCCGAGTCAATTTAAATTTTTGTTACATTGTACATTATAAACTGCAACAATAATCTAGCAAATGGCAGACAAAGAAATTTTCTTTTGGATCATATGACAACTCGATATCGTTAGATGATTTATGAGAACTTTTACCAAATTCTTGATATGCTCTGAAATGAAAAGTATGAGGCCGATTGTGTATTGTATTGATGCCGATTATACCGATTTTAAAAATTCCGTATTTTACATGTCCGACTTCTTCCCTGTTAGCTACCAAAGGCTCCTTCTCTTAAACACATCACTTTTTTGCCCAGCAATTTATTTCCCCTAAAGATGAGCAGATTCGTTATTAAATTTAACATTTTCTGAGGTTGTGAGAGAACTAACTTTACCTTCTCAACATCGTATTCTGAAACTCGTTCTGTTGCTTCTCTCCGCAACTGCTACAACAGATCGCAAAACTCCAGAGTAATATTTTCACCGACAATAATCTATTTTCCTTCTCTCCCAACACAGGTAAACCAAATTTAAATTCTAACATCATTCCCTCTCAATCTTTCCCCCAAAGCTCTCTACCGCTCCCCCAACGGTCCCCACGCCTCCCCCCTAGGGCAGCTAATACACCCACTACCGCTAACGAAGCTGTCACGCGCGACAGATGCGATATCGCGCGTATCACAACAGCTCAAGTTGCGCTCCATCTTTTCCCCATCCCCTCCTTCCTATACCCCCTTCCCATCATCCCCTCCCCATCCTCCCATCTTTATCCGCTCCTACTCCATCCTATTTTCTCCATCCTCATCCTACCCCATTTTTTCCTTCCCATCCGTTATTTCCATAGCTTTTATTCCATTTGATATTGCACAAATTTTTTCCAATTTTTCCCATACCTCATGATCGAAAAGGCCAAATAAATATTTTCTTTCGATCGTAAAGGCCAAATTTCTGAATGTCGAAAGTTTAATCACGAATAACATAAAAAAATTAACACTGCCACCACACGCAGGGCTACAGAATGCCACGGCAAGAAGCGCCACTGCCACAGAGTGCCACTACAAGCACTGCCACGGAGTGCCACTACAAGCACTGCCACGGAGTGCCACTACAAGCACTGCCACGGAGTGCCACTACAAGCACTGCCACGGAGTGCCACTACAAGCACTGCCACGGAGTGCCACTATGCACCACAAGCACTGCCACGGAGTGCCACTACAAGCACTGCCCCGGAGTGCCACTGCAAGCACTGCCACGGAGTGCCACTATGCACTACAAGCACTGCCACGGAGTGCCACTATGCACTACAAGCACTGCCACGGAGTGCCACTATGCACTACATGCACTGCCACGGAGTGCCACGGCAAGAGGTGCCACAAGGTGCCACCATTTACCGAGGTTAGCTCACAAGTCCCCAGGGATTCCCGAAGCAAATCAGGGTCATAGGATTATTAAGGTACGGACGGGGATTTCCTTAAGTGCGGGTGCGGATCATCCCCCTGGGGAAGCTGATGCTCCATCTCTCCCATCCTCACTTCTTCCCCACAATTTCAATCGAATCCCCGATGGGGAATTCAAAACAAAATTAATCCCCAGGACTTTGATGGCTGGAGTTCTTCACTTCAACGCGGGAGTTTGTATTGAAATTGTACAGCATTGCGTTCATTGCAAGATTTACTCCTTAATTCTTGCTGCTGTTGTTACTTGTTAACAATATTCTGCATGGATCCTTATTAAATTAGACATATTAAAACGCGCACTGTACAAAGCAGTAAGATAACTATAGATGACCTTATAATATAAACGAGATGTCAATAATTCGTTCATAACTGTACTATATTATCATAGGACGTCAATATTTCAGTTATTATAAGGATTTTCTAAAGCTTTTTTGTGTTCAAAGAGATCTACTTGTGCAGATAATTTAGGCCTGCAAAATTTAAAGATTATAAACATTTCAATTTCTATTCACACTCTGGAAACTATTTAGAAATTATAAATACGTTTAAAAAATGTCCAGGAATATTATTAAGTATAAAATTTGTTTAATGGATATTTTCGACATGAAATTCCGTTTGCTGCATTTGCTACATTTCATTTAGAGCCCATGACTTCCATTGCTGCATCGCTTTGATGGACAAAATAGGGCTGGTGAGGCTGGTTATGGGAGGAATTGTTGACAATTTTGACTTATTTTCCTTTCAGCGTTACGGCAAGAAATAAGGCATGTGATTAACTGGTTTTAATTAATTCCCAAAAATCATACCAAAATCGCCACGTCGATCGGCGCAGTTTTTTACCTGTAGAAACAACCATATAGCGACGAGCAACTAGATTTCTGTTCAAGTGAATTATATTTAATTTCACGTGAATAAATTTTAAAATGAATCACCAAGACTCCTCATAGAGGTAAGAATTTGCGACAGGATTC